ATTATTATTATTATTATTATTATTATTATTATTATTATTATTATTATTATTATTATTATTATTATTATTATCGTTGTTGTTCTTGTTGTTGTTCTTGTTATTATTTGCAAACATCATTTCATCCTGTTGGAATGGGAGCTCCTAACAAAATAGTGATTCTAAACAGGCAAGTTTAAGAGGCAAAAGGCATGGAGCCTGATTACACACGCTTCTGATGACACCAGAGTTTTAAAATATACCGAAACTTTAAAACTGGTTTTTCCTTGCAGCAACCTCAAGATGAAAGCAAAACTACGCAGGGTTACATAAGTGCAACTTCTTCATTTAGGGGCTTGCAGGCCTCTTGGGTTATTGGGGGCTGGGAAAAACACCCAAGAGGCATTTCCTAAGAACAGTTAAGCCAGCCGAAGAGGCTGTGGGGACTCCATCACTGGAGGCTTTAAAGGAGAGACTGGACAGCCGTTTGTCTGAAAGGCTAGGATGGGGGTCTCCTGTCTGAGAGGGGGTTGGACTAGAAGACCTCCAAAGTCCCTTCCAACTCTGTTATTCTGCTCTGCTCTGTTGTGAATCATTCTGTCTGTCTGTCATATCTAACTATCTATCACTATCGTATCTATTTATTGTATCTATCATATCTATCTCTATCATATCTCTATCTATCTATCTATCTATCTATCTATCTATCTATCTATCTATCTATCACTATTGTATCTATTTATTGTATCTATCATATCTATCTCTATCATCTCTCTCTCTCTCTCTCTAACTATCTATCACTATTGTATCTATTGTATCTATCATATCTATCTCTATCTATCTATCTATCTATCTATCTATCTATCTAATCTATCACTATCGTATCTATTCATTACCATATCTATTTCTCATATCTCCTATCATATCTATTATTTATATATCTATATCTATCACCATCATATCTTACTACATACTATTATATCTATTTATCATACCTATCACTATCATATCTAACTACATACTATCATATCTATTTATTATCATATCTATTTATCATATCTCCCATCATATTATTTATATATCTATCACTATCATATCTATCTAACTACATACTATTATATCCATTCTTCATATCTATTCTATCACTATCATATCTATTTATTATCATATCTATTTATATCTCCTATCATATTATTTATATATCATATCTATCACTATCATATCTATCTAACTACATACTATTATACCTGTTTATCATATCTATCATACCTATCACTATCATATCTATTTATCTATCATCATATCTATCAATACCTATCTATCATTATCATAACTATTTATCATCATATCTATCTTCATCACCATTTTTATCTACTTACCTATCTATCATATCTATCTATGTATCCTCATATCTATCTGTCATCATCCTATCTACCTACCTACCTACCAATATCCATCAAATAGAAAAAAAAGGAATTCCAGACGCTAACCTTTGCAAACATCCCCTGCCTTCTTCAACTAGTAACATTCCACAATTTGGGGCTCTAAATTTGCGTGCCCGGTCTTTTCTACTTTTGGAAACAGGACGTGCTTGTCGGGCGGCTCACAAAAAAGAGATTTCTGTATTCCACCACAAAAGCTTCGGAGACCACAGGTAACCAACACCCCCACCGGTCTCCTTAGCTCCATTTCTGTCATCGCTGAACAGAACGAGAGTGGGGGATTTTGCAGCTAAGCTGCCATCTCATCCAAGCGTCCAGCATCCCTGCACACTTCTGAGTGACCTCAAGACAGGAGCAAAGAGAGAAATGGGGAAGGCAGGCTCGGGATGGCAGCCCCGGAGGAGGCGTCAGCTAGCCTGCCCTGCCAGGGTCCCCAAAGGCAGGCAGGCTGCTTTTGAATCCTCTGCTGTTCTCTTTTCCTTGGGAAGCGCGAACAGATGGATGTTCACCATGACGGGCGAAGGGAAAACAAGCAAACAGGCGCTGCCTTTCCTTTCCTAGAGGTAGACAGGGACCCGTCTCCTCCCACCTGGACCCTCCCGGGGAACTGCATCCCTGCTCCTCTTCATCCTTCGTGTTCTCTGTAGCAGAGGTTCACAGGATTCCCTCTCCGGTGCCCTACTGGAGCAAGGAAGGGATCTAATGTTTGTTTTACGAGAATTTCCCTTTTATTTTGTGTTCAGATCAACAACCTGGAGGGGAGGGGAGGTGGGAGGAGAGGAGGAAGGAAAGAGAGAGGAGGGGAGGGGAGAGGAGTAGAGAGGAGTAAGGAAAGAGAGGAGGGGAGGAGAGAGGAGAGGAGGAAGGAGAGGAGGGAAGGGGAGAGGAGAGGAGGAAGGAAAAAGAGGAGGGGAGGGGGGAGGAGAGGAGGAAGGAAAGAGAGGAGGGGAGGAGAGAGGAGAGGAGGAAGGAGGGGAAGGGAGAGGAGAGGAGTAGAGAGGAGTGAGGAAGGGAGAGGAGGAAGGAAAGAGAGGAGAGGAGGGGAGAGGAGAGGAGGAAAGAAAGAGAGGAGGGGAGAGGAGAGAGCAGGGGAGGGGAAAGAAGAGGGAGGGGGAGAGGAGAGGAGGAAGGAAAGAAAGGAGGGGGGGAGGGGAGAGGAGAGGAGGAAGGAAAGAGAGGGGGGAGGGAGAGGAGGAAGGAAAGAGAGAGGAGGGGAGAGGAGAGGAGACAAGAGAAGAGGGGAGGGGAGGAGAGAAGGAAAGAGAGGAGGGGAGAGTAGAAGAGGAAAGAAAAAGAGAAGAGGGGAGGGGAGAGGAGGAAGGCAAGAGAGGGGAGATGAGGGGATGAAGGAAAAAAAGGAGTGAGGGAAGGAAAGGAGAGAGGGAAGGCAAGAGGAAGGGAAGGGAAGAGAAGAGGTTTCCACTGACTAGTTGCTAAACCCAGCTTCCCTGTTTCGTTTCTCCTGCTTGAGAAAGGTTCAGTTTTTAATCTGGGTAGAGATTGTCCTTCTCATCGAAGGTCATGGCATCCATCCGTCACTCGCAGTCTGAACAGACCTTCCCCCACCCCAAATTAAAAACCCACCGTATTTCTTTTCCTGACATGGAAAGGGGCTTGGGTTAATTCAAGAAAATTCCGGGGCAGGAAGGAACCAGAAACCTTTCTAGGGAGGGATTGCGCGGGGAAGGCAACCCCCGTAGGAGGAAAATCCCTCCACGCAGAGGGAGCTCAAGGCGTCCTTCCAATTTCACCGGCCACGTTGCGCATCTTGTGGGCTTGTGACAAAATTGAAAAGGCGGCCACGCCTTGCGGGAGAGAAGCGTCGAGGAAGGAAGGAAGGCGCGAGGTGCCCTCCTCCGCTAGCCCATCCGCATCGTGTGACTCAATCCTGTCCGTTTGGAGACGGAGGGAGTTCCTTTCCCAGAATTCCCTTCCATTCTGAAGAAGCTCCTTGAATGAGAAGCAAAGGACTTTCCGGCAGGGAGCGGAGGGACGGGACCAAGAACATCCAGTTGCCTTTTGGAAAAGCATCTTCGGGTGGGTTGTGGTTCGCCTGCAGCAGGTTACGGACGGCTGAGGTCTCAGAGAGCGAGGACTCAGATGAGGGGCCCACGTGGGATGCAGGGATGGGGCCAGGACCATCAGGGAGTCGAGTGCTGCCTTCGGAGATTGTGGAGGCTGGCAGCAGTGATGAAGAGGACCCCGAGGAGCCTGTGCCCAGGGCTGCTCGAAGGAAAGAGCAGCTGCAGCAGCACGGGCGACTCGGGAGTGAGGCTGCAAGGTGATGGCCCCTCCCTTAAGAGATCAAAGCCAGCTGAGAAACCGGAGTACTTTGCAGGAAGCAAAGAATTTTTTGCACTCAAGCCTTGTGGACGTTTGGACTCTCTTAGTTGGTGTTTGGAGACTCTTTGTGTTTGAAATATTCCTTGGCAACTTTATCTAGTGTTCTTGGCAGCCTTCAATAACCTTGGCCAGGCTCGTTCTTATCAGAGACAATTAGTCTGAAACAGCCTTTTAACCGGGAAGGAACAAAATTCATAAGAATAATTAAAAGGTTTTGCTGTTTCCTCCTTTTCGTGTTTGTTTCCTTGGAACAAGGTTTGGGTCAGAACAGAGGGATAACCGTGATGAGCGTGTCCATCATCAACCGTGATGAGACGGATGATTGAGCACCTTGCCAGGTCAACGTTCCTCACAAATGGAAGATCAAAGACCCAGGAAGGAAGTTGCAAAGAAAAGAGCCTGCTCCCCAAATTAAGTGGGACTCATAAAACCATAAATCCAGTCCCAAAGGGGCTTTTTCAAGAGGCAACTGGACTTTCTTTGTTCTTCTTTGAAGACATTTCACTTCTCCTCCAAGAAGCTTCTTCAGCTCTGACTGGATGGTGGAGGAATGGAAGGATTTATATGCTCCTTGCAGACAGCTGGCCATTTGCATCCCTTTTACAGAGTCGCTGAGGCCACTTGGAGGTTTCTCTGTGTCCTCAGGGTCACCCGAGTGGTGCAAACGCGCGTGGAGCCTTCTTGGAGCTGCTGAAAGGACCGTGTTGAAGGCTGGAAATAGATGACGTCATATCCCCCCCCCCTCTGTTGAGGGAGGGCGGTTCAATTTGGACATCGATGGCCTCTTTTGACTCTGAAGACACAGATAAACCTCCAAGGGGCCTCAACGCCTCTCTAAAAGGGATGCAAATGACCAGCTGTCCGCAAGGAGTATGAATCCTTCCATTCCCCGCTATCTGGTCGGCACTGAAGAAGCTTCTTGGACGAGAAGCAGAAATGTCTTCAAAGGAAAAAACAGAAAGTCCAGTTGCTTCTTGGAAAAAAAAAAAAAAAAGCACCTTTGGGGACAACCATGATCTGGATGACGGAGAATCATCCACAGACATAAGGCTAGTCAGAATTGCCAAGGGGGGGTTGCAAAATACCCTCCTTCCCGTGTGCAACTCTAAAGAATTCCCAGGTAGTATGAAAGGGGACCCCCACCCAGCCTGGGGGACACCACGTCAGAAAAGGCTACGGTTGGCCCTTTCAAGAGAGCCAGGGGAGCAATTACCTTCTTAATGGTGTTGTGTTTGCTATTCCCCCGGTCATGGTTCTCACTGTGCAGGATGTCCATGGTTGTCTCTCTCTCCTTCAGCTTCAGAGCTTCGATCTCGGTCTTCAGCTCATTCAGCTGCTCCTGGAGGTGTTTGCTCTTCTCCATATATTCCACCCTGGACAAAAGACAAAAAAACAACAACACCCCACCATGAGCTGCCATGGAGGTGATTTTTGCAGGCTTGGACAAAATAGGTGGCAGAGGTAGAATCCAAGGGATGGAAGGGAGACCTCAGGGGTCTCCTAGTCCAACTCCCTCAAGTGTCAGGATTCCGGCGATTGCCCTAATTGAATCATGAGCCTCGAGCCAAGCTTCAAAAAAGCTCAAAAGATTTATTAGGAGCAACATGCCAGCATTAACATAAATGAAGCCAACTCTGGGATACGTAATTCAGTCACCTGTGACCCTGTTACCCCCTCCCCTCTGGATGTATCATAAATCAGATTCTCCAATGAAGCACATTCACGGGCCAGGTGTCATCAATCACGTTCTCAGCTCTACCACATAATGGAATGCCGAATTCTAGGACGTGAAATATCAGAACTCATCTATCCACCCATCCATCATCTATCAATATCTATCATCTTCCTATCATCTAACCAATCTATCTATCCATCTGTCTCATCCATCCATCCATCTTTATATCTAATCCATCCATTTCTATATCTAATCCATTTATCTATCATTATATCTATCTATCTATCCATCCATAATCTATCAGCTATGTGTCATTTATCATCTATCTATCTGTCTGTCTGCCTCATGGTAGCCCATGTAGAGCACACTGCAGTAGTCCAAACACAAGATGACCAGGACATGAGTGACTCAGCAGAGGGATTCACGATCTGAGAAAGCCAATAACTTGAAGCCAACGTCAGAACCAAGAGGCAGGCTTTGTCAAACAGATGCTCTGTCAATCTTTGGCTTTTCAACTTCCTGCACGTTCTCTCAACTTGGCGGAAACCTTCCTGCAAGAGGTCGAGGAAGGCTGAGGCAGAGTTACTGGAATGAAGTAATAAAAGAGGACTCACTTCTCCTTCTCGATCTCCATGGACAACCTCTTCATGTCGTTATCCTTGAAGTCGAAGGAGAGGCTTTCACTGATTATGCCAAATGTTGACATGTCAGCAGGCAAGGCGGTTGTACTTGCGTTCACGGGCTGCTGAGGACAAAATAAGAGATTAATTCCCCCATCGGAGCGAATATCTGTAGCTCAGATGTAGGAGGAAGGTCAAGCTTCGTTCTCCGAGCTTGTGGGTTGGTTTCCCAACGTTTCATTACCTGGCTAGGTATTAATATCTTCAGCGGAGTTGAATGACCCTCACCTGACATAATATCCCCGTCACTAGACCCATCACAAGACTCTCAACTGACACACATACCTGACCCATTGTTCTGTCCTAGGCTTCCCCAAAAAGCACTAAGCAGATTCTTTGCCCCCTTTTATTAAACGAAGGTGAATTCCTTGCATTCGCATTCAGCCAAAGGCCCGGCAAACAGTCTTTCAAGGGTGTGATTAGGAGCACAGACCTTATCTAGCTTGGAGAGCTGCCAAGTAAATGTTTCCAAACACAGTGCTGACAAGGAAGGGCTCAGCACAGAGTCTCTGAGATGCTGGCCCCCTGTACTTGGAACAAAGGCCAACATTTTCCCTGAAGATCTTGTTAGGTTCTTTTTAAGCCAAGGGAATGCAGCCCGGCCAATTTGTCACGCAAGGAGAAGATCACACGTTAACTTTGCCGGCTCACATCCTTGTTTGGAGAAAAGTGGCTGGCTCACCTAACTAGGAAGAGAGAGATTTCTGAAAATGTCAGTCGTGAGCCCCCCCAAAAGCAGAAGACAGGGAGATGCTATTCTTTTAAGAAGAGGAATTCTGGGATTCATGCAGCTGGCGAGTTGGGTTGGATGACAGGCCTCTGATCTTCATTTACGCAAAAATACGATCTGCGGGGCTTGCTGATCGCTCAGTGATGAGATAAGCGATTTGCAAAAACCCACTGGGCAACCTGCTACGCGGAGTTTCCCGATAATCTCAAGCATCCTGGAAAGTTCATCAGGAAGGCTAGATTTATATTTACCGATAAGAAAGAAATAAAGGGAGATTAGTATAGATCTATTTCAAGTAATTTAGCTCTTATAAGCTAGCCATGCCCCTCCTGGGATTCAAACCTGGGCTGCTTGTATATTAGGTAGATGCATTAACCTCTAAGCCACGGGCTCTCCTCGCTTTGTTGGCTACACCGGGGGAGAGATTCGGTGTTTTTTTCCCTGGCGAGACTGGCCTATCGGGGAAATCTGGTCTACCCAAATATGGGACGGAGCGTATACTGCTTTCGCTTTCGCCTTTACGCCCCAATCCAGGGGTGTTCGCGGGCAGTCGCTTTCGCGGCAAACTATTTTTGTGTTAAATTTGTATGGTTATATTTAAATTTAATCAGGAAGGCGAGTTTGCAGCACTGCTTGGGTTCAGATTTGGCGTTTAGCAAGGGAGCCGCAAATATTTGTGGCAAAGATTCCTGTTGCAGCACAGAGGCAATCACGGTTGAGTAGGAGGGGAACCCTTCGATCGGTCGGTGCTCTTAAAAGCTTCAGAAATGATTGTCAAAAGCCTCAGAGAATCTGGAGGGGAGGGGAAACCCCATTAAATTCCAGCCACTTCGGTCCTGGCTTGTTTAAACTCTTTGTCACGGCCCTGTCGGAGTCTGAATCCGAGGAGGAAGCCAAGCAGCTGACAGGGAGCGGGAGTGTAGCTCCGTTGGCTGTGGAGGAGGCTGGGGAAGGGCAAAGTCCGGCTGGGCAGAGCAGGGGGGGGAGATAGAACAAAGGAGAAGGAATTCAGAGGAAGACCCAGGCCCACCTCGTCTTCATCCTAGGGCACGCAGGGAGGAACGGAGAAGGGAGCAACGTGGGTTGCACGGCTTACGGAGGGCCCTGATTCCCTTCATTAGCCACAGCTGGGAACACAGTTTATAAAAAAGGCAAGCTGTGTGCGGCAGGCTGTTGGGAGCAATCGTGACTTTATCCTGTGTTGTCGTGGCTTATCTGTGCTCCTAGTGTCTTCCCAACATGTGAGTTTTGCTGTGCCTTCAAGTCTGAAATTCTTGCTTCTGCCCTGCCAAACTCATTACTTCCGTTTGGCTTGATTGGACTTTATGTTACAGTTTATGTTGACCATGTTTTGGACTTAATTTTCTGCAGTCGAAGGCTGTTCCTGGGAGAGTTTTTCTCCAGCCCAGAAAGTAACAAGGACATTGGGGGCAAAGTTGGAGATAATAAAGGGACTCTTGTTGATTATCTGACTGTGTTGCCTTTGTGCCACGCCCCGGGTCATCACACCTAGGTTCATTTGGATGGTGTTCTTAAAAGCTTCAGAAATGATTGCAGAGAGTCTCAGAGAACCTGGGGGGGTGGGGTGGGGGGCAGGAACCCCATTAAATTCCAGCCACTTTGGTCCTGGCTTATTTAAACTCTTGTTCAAGGTGATGCAGAGCCAAAGACAAATGGTACTAAGAGCAGGAGAGGCTGGGAAACGGCTGTAAAAGCAGTCCGCTTATAGATCTTATTTAACAGCTGAGATCTCTCCCCCCCCCCACCCCCACACAAAAGGAGTCGATAAATGACTCCAGGGTGCTCCTCAAAATCTTGATTAAATAGAGGGAGAGCGTAGGGCAAAGAAGCCTGCAGGATTTGATTGAAGTGGGCTTGATCCTCCTTTGAAAAACTCTTCCGCCTTTCGATCAGGAAGGCTTGGCTGGTGTTTTGATTTGGATTTTTTTCCCCTCCCCATTGCTGTCTGACACATATTCGCACAACACCCATCGTTGGAAATCAACCTTCAGGATGAAATGTGTCCAACCGGAGGAAAAGGTGAAATGGGGAAATGGAGGACAAATTTTAAGGGTGTCGCCAAAGAAGGGATTCGCGATTGCCAACTTCCAAGACAGGCAGGCAGGCAGGCAGGCAGAGAGGGTCAACAGATGGATAGGTGGATGGATAGCTCAACAGACAGACAGAGATGATCAACAGATGTATGTATGTATTATAGACAAGACAGTCAGACAGACAGACAGCAATAGAGTAGATAAACAGGTGGATGATATATTGATTTATTATTTATTGAATTTATATTGCTGCCTATTCGCCCATGGTGACATATAGATGACAGACAGACAGTGATACAGTACATAAACAGATAGGTGGATGATATAGATGATGGATAGATAGATCGACAGACAGACAGATATAGGGAGATGGAGAGAGGGAAGGGTTAGGGTTAGGTTTGGGAAGGACTCGACAGGTAGACAAAAATGCCAAATCCAGTCTGAACATCTGGCTGACAGTGCAAAGGACCATAATCATAACAAAGCAAAGCAAGTCCCAATAAGAATAGGCACCAGCAGTGCCATCTCCAAACATCTGGAGCACCCTTTGAACACCATCATTGGCATTGACAAAATCCCCAACAGTCAATTGCAAAAGGCAGCTCCCCTCGGAAGAGCTTACCTCCTGTGACACCATCTGCAACCCCAGCAAACATCCACACCTGCCTATCCCGGGTTCGTGGGGAGAACTCGACAGGTGGGGGGAAATGCCAAATCCAGTCTAAACACCTGGTGACAGTGCGACCAACCCCAACAAATTAAACCTGTAGGCGGCCCGAGTCCCTGGGCAGTTGAATGAATGAATGTCTTTTTTTAACAGGCTCTTGCAGATATTTAACTTCGTTTACATGTTCTCGGTCCACCTATTCTGGAATGGGAAGCCCCCCCTTCCCTGCCAGCGGTTACCAAAGAACATTAATTTTATTGCACTCTTTCTTTTTCTCTCTCTCTCTCTCTCTTTTTTTACCCTCCTTACTTTTTGCACTTGTCTTTCCTTTCCTACTCAGCTGAAATGTCTTTTACGAGGGAACCAGTCTCTGGGCAATTGCACTCTGGCTGTTTAAACCTGAGACCGGGAATGATTCATGCTCCCAGCAAAACAGAACAAACGGAGAGTGGGAATTGCACAAGGCAACACAAAACTGTTCCACAACGAGGGACTCTCCAGGCTAATAAATATAACACTTTTCAAGATAGAAAACCAGGTTTTGGTTATTTGGGGGGGGGGTTGTTCCTCTTTAAAGTCCGTTGTCTTGCATTTTAATCGGAGATCTCCTAGCTTTGCTACTATTAAGGGGATAAAGAGATTTAAGGGATCATGTGCACGCCAGAACCTCCAAGAACAGACGCCTGGATTTCACTAATTCTGGAAACGTTGATTGTGCTTAGGTTGCACACAGTAGGAAAATCTTTTAAGAACCCCCCCCCCCCCA